TGCTGCAATGAACATCTGCGTGCATGTAAGACAGGCACTTCCTTTTTTAACTAATTAATTTTATTTTAAGTTCCAGAACACATGGAGAATGTGCAGGTTTGCTACATATGTATAGTCTGCCATGGTGGTTTGCTGTACCTACTCACCCATTCTCTAACTGCCCTCTCTTCATTCCCCACTCCCCAACAGGCCCTGGTGTGTGTTGCTCCCCTCCCTGTGTCCATGTGTTCTCATTGTTCAATTCCCACTTAGAAGTGAGAACATGTGGTATTTGGTTTTCTGTTCCTGTGTTAGTTTGCTGAGGATGATGGCTTCCAGCTTAATCTGTGTCCCTGCAAAAACATAAAAGCATTCCTTTCTATGGATATATTGTTTTATGGGGTATATGTACCAAAGTTTCTTTATCCAATCTATCCTTGATGGACATTTGGGTTGGTTACATGTCTTTGCTATTGGAAAAGTACTGCAATAAACATACGTGTGCATGTGTCTTTATAGCAGAATGATTTATATTTCTTTGGGTATATACCAAGCAATGGGATTGCTGGATCAAATAGTATTTCTGGTTCTAGATTTTTGAGGAATGGCCACACCGTGCTCCATATTGGTTGAACTAGATTACATTTCCATCAACAGTGTAAAAGCATTCCTATTTCTACACAACCTTGCCAACATCTGTTGTTTCTTGACTTTTTAATAACTGCCATTCTGACTGGTGAGAGATGGTATCTCATTATGGTTTTGATTTGCATTTCTCTTATGATCAGTGATATTGAGTTTTTTTTAAAAAAATACATTTCTTGGCCACATAAATTAAATGTCTTCTTCTGAGAAGTGTCTGCTGATATCCTTTGGCCACTTTTTGATGGGGCTTTTTTTTTCTCGTCAATTTGTTTAAGTTCCTTGTCAACAAACATGTGAGCTCTCATCATTCTTGTTTAAACACCTAGCAGGCATCCTAACCAGTGTAACATGTCACAAAAATGAAATAAAAGACCAATAGAAGGACTGGGCATGGTGGCCCATGACTATACTTCCTGCATTTGGGGAGGTTGAAGTGGGAGAATCACTTGAGTTCAGGAGTCTGAGACCAGCCTGATAGTAAGATCTCATCTCTGCTAAAGAAAAAAACTGTTAAAGAGAAAAGACCAAAAGATAAGAAAGAAAGAAATGAAATCTTTCTATGTCACCAGCTTCATTGCATATGTAGAAAACGCTAGAGAATTCTGAAACAGTCTCTGGAGTTAATCACTGAAATTGCAAAATAGTTCATAAAATATATGTGATAAGTCACTGCGATGAACATGAAAAGATAACAAACAATACTGGTCATCAAAGAAGTGAAAGTTAAAATCACAATGAGAAACCATCACTCATCACCTAGAATAGGTAAAGTTAAAAAGGCATATGATAAGTCTAAATACTGGCAAGAATATGGAACAAATGCCAACGTCTGATATTGCTGGTGGGAATGCAAAAAATGTTGCAGCCAATTTGTAAAGCAGTGTGGCAATTTCTTATACAGCTGCCCATCCATTACACATGACCCAGCGATCCCAAAAATATGTATTTATCCAAAAGAAATAAAAATGTAAGGCCACTCTTGTAAGCAGTTACTTATAGTGGCTTCATTAATAACACATCCTAACTGGAGTAATCCACATGTCTATCAATTGGAGAAGAGAGAAACCAGTGAGCAAACTGGGATTCCAGCAATACTGGGCAGCTGCTCAGCAACAAAAGTGAATGAATGGCATCATCTCAAACACTGTTATGCTGAGTGACCAAACAAAGGACCACACAACATATGATCGCATGTCCATGAAATTCTAGAAATTTCACCACTGCAGTGACAGAAAGCAGAGCAGTGGTTTGTTTTTTTTGTTTTGTTTTGTTTTGTTTTTTTGAGACGGAGTTTCGCTCTTGTTACCCAGGCTGGAGTGCAATGGCGCGATCTCGGCTCACCGCAACCTCCACCTCCTGGGTTCAGGCAATTCCCCTGCCTCAGCCTCCTGAGTAGCTGGGATTACAGGCACACGCCACCATGCCCAGATAATTTTTTGTATTTTTAGTAGAGACGGGGTTTCACCATGTTGACCAGGATGGTCTCGATCTCTTGACCTCGTGATCCACCCGCCTCGGCCTCCCAAAGTGCTGGGATTACAGGCTTGAGCCACCGCGCCCGGCTAGATCAGTGGTTGAGTGAAGGGAAGGGGTGAGGGTGGGAGGCAAGCATTAAATAGAAAGGGACAGAAAGAAAGTTTTTAGGGAAAAGAAACTGTTATCTACAGTGTCACCATTCTGGATTGACTGGACGGTGGGATCTGAGGGAAGAGGAGGGTGAGAGGGATGAGGGGGCAGAGAGAAGGGCTGGGGAAGCAGGAGGTGAGGAAAAGGAGCAGGAGAAAGGACTCTAAAGCAGTGGAGGAGCCCAGCAGGGGCGTCTTTGCATTTGGTGTTTCTCTACTGACCAGTGTGGTAGTCACACAACTATAAATAGTTAACAATATTCACCAAAAAGTGAAGCTAAAACTGGTAAACTTTATTACACAAATGCCCTAATAAACGGAAAAGAAAAGGGGGAAAGAAGGCAAAAATAAAGACATTTTTAGATCATCAAAACCATAAAACTCATTTCGTAGGGATCCTGTACTACATGTCATTTTAAATGAAGTTCTTCAAGCTGAAGGGAAATGATACTAGATGTGACCCAGATATACAGAAAGGAACAATTAACAACAGAAATTATGCACACACACATATCACACACACACTCATTTTCTTAATTTCCTCAACACATATGACTGCTTGTCTAAAACAAAAAGTATTGTATCTGTATTGTTGAGTTTATAATGTATATTGACGTAATATATACAACAATAATAGCATAATGATAGGTTAAATGACACTATACCATTTGAAGCGTCCTTTATTTTGCTGGATGTAGTTTAACATTATCTGAACTTCACTGTAAAAAGTCAAGGAATCAGGTTTCCATTATTAAAACAAAAAATTAGAGTAAAGAAATATAGTCAAAAGCCACTAGGAGAATTAAAACCATAAACTAAAAAATGTTCCCTTGACACATAAGAAAGTAACAAAGGAGGAACAGAAACTGTGAGATATGAGACAAATTGAAAACATATAGCAAAGTGGTAGACCAGAATCCAACCATTGTAAGTGAAGAAATGACACGACCTGAATCACATTAGCAGGAGGGCTGAGCACTGTGGGGAGAACAGACACGGGCAGGAAGTGAGGGACGGTGTTAGTGCCACAATTCAGGAGTGACAGGGTGGTGGGGGCTACGGGGAGAGGAGGGTGTGAGGGATGACAGGGGCAGAGAGAAGGGCTGGAGAAGCAGGAGGTGAGGAAAAGGGGCAGGGGAAAGAATTCTAAAGCAGTGGAAGAGCCTAGCAGGGGGGTTCTTTGCACTCATATTTAGTACATTTTGTGGAACTTCCTAAAAACGAGTGGCCTCTTAATGATGAAACAAAAGTGGGTTACAAAAATACCAAGTGTCCAGATAAAATGTGCACACTGCTTAGATGTGCACAGTTGATGAAAACAGGCCATGCTCCCGCATTGGGGCTGCATGGAGCTCTTGCAACTCCGAGTGATGACTACAGGCTCCCTGTTGCAATACACAGTGACAAACCTGCTTCTCTGTATTCAGGAGATGTTCTGGACTCACGGAGAAACTCACACTAGGGAATGAAGACAATTTTAAATGCAGCAACCAGAGTCACAGATCCACAGCACCCTTGAGCACTGTGAATTTTTCTCTCAGGCCTTGTTCTCTGCCTCATACTCAATGTACTTGAAGGTCTGATTCCAGATTTTCTGAGTCCCTCGGCCTCCACTCAGGTCAGGACCAGAAGCTGGTGTTCCTCCCTCAGAGACTAGAACTTTCCGAAGAATAGGAGATTATCCCAGGTGCCTGTGTCCTGGCTGGTGTCTTAGTTCTGTGCTCCCTGATTTTTTTATTCTTCCTGTCAGTAACCCCCAAGACACACGTGACCCATCACCCCATCTCTGACCATGAGGCCACACTGAGGTGCTGGGCCCTGGGCTTCTACCCTGCGGAGATCACACTGACCTGGCAGCAGAATGGGGAGGACCAAACTCAGGACACCGAGCTTATGGAGACCAGGCCAGCAGGGGATGGAACTTTCCAGAAGAGGGTGGCTGTGGTGGTGCCTTCTGGAGAAGAGCAGAGATACACGTGCCATGTGCAGCATAAGGGGCTGCCAGAGCCCCTCACCCTGAGATGAGGTAAGGAGGGGGATGGTGGTTACATCTATTCTCAGGGAAAGAAGAAGCCCTTCTGAAGCCCTTCAGCAGAGTCAGGGCTGAGGCCTGGGGTCAGGGCCCCTCACCTTCTCCCTTTTGCCCAGAGCCGTCTTCCCAGCCCACTGTCCTGATCATGGGCATCATTGCTGGCCTGGCTGTCCTAGGATCTGTGATCACTGGACCTGTGGTCGCTGTTGTGATGTGGAGGGGGAAGAACTCGGGTAGGGAAAGGTGGAGGGGTGAGGTCTGGGTTTTTTGTTCCACTGGGTATTTCAAACCCCAGGTAGAAATGTGGCCTGCCTCATTACTGGGAAGCACCATCCACACATGGGCTGACCCAGCCTGGGGCCCTGTGTGCCAGCACTTATTCTTTTGTGAAGCACATGTGACAATAAAGGACAGATGTATCACCTTGATGATTGTGGTGCTGGGGTCCTGATTCCAGCATTCACAAGTCAGGGGAAGGTCCCTGCTAACGACAGACCTTAGGAGGACAGTTGGTCCAGGACCCACACCTGCTTTCCTTGTGTTTCCTGATCCTGCCCTGCGTCTGTAGTATAGTTCTGGAAACTTCTCTGGGGTCCAAGATTAGGAGGTTCCTCTAAGATCTCATGGCCCTGACTCCTCCCTGTCCCCTCACAGGACATTTTCTTCCCACAGGTGGAAAAAGAGGGAGCTGCCTGGAAGTGGGGGGCGGGAGTGTGGAGGAGCTCACCCACCCGATAATTCCTCCTGTCCCACATCTCCTGCGGGCTCTGACCAGGTCCTGTTCTACCCCAGGCAGTGACAGTGCCCAGGGCTCTGATGTGTCTCTCACAGCTTGTAAAGGTGAGGCCTTGGGGGTGCCTGAAGTGGGTGGGGGTTGGGGCAGAGGGGAAAGGGCTAGGTAATGGTGATTCTTTGATTGTGACATTTGAATGTGTGATGGGCTGTTCAGAGTGTCATCACTTACTATGACTGATCTGAATTTATTCATGACTATTGTTTTCTGTAGCCTGAGACAGCTTTCTTGTTTTGGGAGTAAGATTCAGGATTTCTTCACACCTCTCTCTATGACTTCAAGAGCCTCTGGCATCACTTTCTGCAAAAACATCTGAATTTGTCTGCGTTCCTGTTAGCATAATGTGAGGAGGTGAAGAAACAGCCCAGCTGTGTCCACCGTGACCGCTGTCCCCACGCTGAACCTGTGTTCCCTCCCCAGTCATCTTTCCTGTTCCAGAGAGGTGGGGCTGGGCATCTCCATCTCTGTCTCAACTTCATGGTGCACTGAGCTGCAACTTCTTACTTCCCTACTGAAAATAGAATCCGAATATAAATTTGTTTTCTCAAATATTTGCCATGAGATGTTGATGGTTATTTAGTAAATTCCTAAAATTTGAAATAGGAAATAAAAACCTGAGAACCTTCCAGAATCTGAATGTTTTTTGTGCTGAGTCTGTTGCAGGTGGGGATGGAGAAGTCTGTGAGGAGCCGTGTGTGGACGGGGCCTGTGCCCAGTTGCTGTTGATTCCATCATGGGCTTTATGTGGTAGTCCTCAGCTGGGTCAGCTTCACTGCTCCATGGTCCTTGTCACTTTAGTGGAAACTTGTCCAGTGGGAGCCATGACCACGGAAGCTAAGACATCTCCCAGGGCAGCCCCTGCACATCAGAGTCTCTGTGTTTCTGAGACAAAGTTTCAGACCCATTCAGCTCCTGCCCTCCTTCTAGGGCTTCTCTTCTGCTCTGCTCTCCTGCCCTCTCTCCCTGCCCTGGTTCTAGTGATCTTAGTGCTGACTCCAATCCCAACCTATGAATCTATAAAGCAGAGTTTAATTTCAATTTACATTTGCTTATAAAATTGGGTCCATAGTCAAGAACTGTTCTTTGCTGAAGAGAGAAACCTTATTAAGTGCTGCAGAGTGCCAATCTTAGGGTGGTGGTGGTGTGGGAGGAGGGATGGCGGAGGGAGGGCACGAGCAGCACTGGGGGACCTTGTGCTGTAGCTGCCACAAAACAGCACTTGACCTGAGTCTGTGTTAATAAAGATACTGCCTTTAGAATGGGAGGTGCTCTACAGTGATCATTCATTCAACTGACCTTTGTTGTTGGCCAGATATAGGACCGAGTGGTTCTGCTTCTGGTGAACATCATTGAAGTGAGATCAGAAAAATCTCTGGCCTTTTGAAGCATATGATCCAGTGTGAAGAGGCAGATGATAGATACACTATAACCATAGTAAGTAAGGAAAGTGCTAGAAGGTGGTAAGTGCTGTGAGGCAGGTGATCCAGGCTGTGGGCAGTGGGGACAGGGAAGGTGGCTGTTATGCTGAGGTAGTCAGTGTGTGCCACATTGCAAAGGTGACCTTTGAGGAAAGATTTGAGGGACATGAGAAATGTCCACAAGGATGTTTGGGGAAATTCTTTCCAAGCAGGGGAACCTCCTGTTCAAATGCACCAGTGCAGAACGCTGTATTTGTTCCCAGAAGGGCAAGGAGGCCAGGAGGGCTGGACAGAGAGAAACTGAGATGAGGGCAGATGTGTGGTCAGAGCAGGTGCACTGATGTAATAAGAGGTTTCAAATGCTGGAGTGTGGGGGGTGAGAAAAGAATGACGATTTTAATTCGCAGAGCAGTGATTCAAGATGAGAACTTTATCTGGTACCTGTTAGGGACTTGGAGTGTCTGAATGAACCAGTGACTAATAAATAACATCCTTCCACCCATTCCCTTGAAAGTAAGTTATTACATCAAGTGTTTGTCTATCCCAGCTCATACTCGAGATTATTGGAGTGGCATTGTGTGATGGTGAAATGATTATTCACACATCTTCCCTTGGCATTGTCTCTTATTAGGATTTAAAAACCCAGGTTTGTAAGATCTCAGAGGATCTGGGTACATACTGATATTTTATGTCAATCTTTATATTTTCTTGTGTGTGGAAATATTTCTGGGGAGAGAATCTTTACCATTTATTAGTTTTTATGTGACCCCCTCAAAACCTCAAGAATCCTAACTTCTAGGTTAGAGGTAGGACCACTCCATGTGTGGACAATGAACAGCTGGTAGCAACCTGTTTAGCAGACCTAGGGACATGAAATAAATTCTTCGTTTTAAAAAATCTTTTCCTCTGGGACCAAAGAAAGTAGAGGTTTACAAGCTTATTCTTACTATAATTATCTTTCTGTGGGATGGTGATGGGTTTTTCCTCCACCAAATAATTTTCTGAGTCTCTAAAAGCAGTTGGGAGTCCCAGAATTTGACTCAATTCTGACAACTAACTACCTGGAGTTCACCTGAGACTCTACAGATTTAAGGGCTCAGTCCCATGAGACTGTCCTCACTTCAGATGTAAGTCACAAAGTATCGGGTCCCAGGTTACCTGCACTTCTGTCTAACGTGGCTGCAAAGTCAGGGATCGCTAACCTCCCAAGGTTCAGAAATTTTTTAACTAACTGAAAGAACTCAGGAAGTTGCTACTGTCATGTAAACCAAAAAACATCTGAGACAGGTTTCAATCAGTTTAGAAGTTTATTTTGCCAAGCTGAAGATGCACCTTGGAGAAAGAGGCACAAATCACCATAGCATCTGTGGCCCATGCTTTTTCCTAAGAGGGTTTTGAGGAATACAGCATTTAAAGGGAAAAGAGTAGGCAGAAGAGGAAAAAGGAACAGTCGACTATGCTTTCATCTCATGCTCAGTAAATCTGCATTTTACATAAGCTAAAGTAAATGGTGGGTAGAGAAGTCAAATATGCGTTTGTCTCTGGGTGGGTGGAGGGATTATTTCTAGTCTTGTGTTTGTCCTGTACCTGTGAAGATAAGCTGTCAGTTTACATTGTCAGGGGGAACTCAATAAAACTCTGATTCAGAGTAAAGATGTTGGGGCCCACAAGGAATTATCTTGTGAGCAAATTGTGAGGGAGGCCACCCGGGGAGAAGAACAAAAGAAAGGCAGTTTTTCCATCACTCAGTTTCCAAACTTAACTTTTATTTTTGATAGAGTGAGTTTGGAGTTCTGAAATTTTATCTTTTTTTCACACTCAGTATTGCGGTTTATTATTGTTATAGGCTAAATCAGCAGTCCCCACCTTTTTGGCACCAGGGGCTGGTTTCATGGAAGACAGTTTTTCCACGGACCAGCAGAGGTGGCAGGGGATGGAGAGAATGGTCTCAGGATGAAACTGTGGCACCTCAGATGGTCAGGCATTAGTGTTTCATAAGGAGCATGCAACCTAGATCCCTCACATGTAGAGTTTACAGTAAGGTTCACACTCTTATGAGAATCAAATTCTGCCACTGATCTGATAGTGGGCAGAGCTCAGATGGTCATGCTCATGCTCATGTTCTTTCACTTACCAATCACTTTCTGCTGTGTGGTCTAGTTTCTAACAGGCCAGGAACCTGTACCAGTCCACAGCCTGGGGGTTAGGGAAACCTGGTTTAAGTTATGCCACTATAGCAGAACACCTGAGACTGGATAAATTATAACGAACAGAAATTTATTTGATTCATGGTTGTTGAGGATGGGAATTCCAAGATCAAGGGACTGTATCTGGTAGAAAGCAAAGGGGCAAGAGATGGTGAGAGGCAGAGGGAAAAAGAGGTCAAACCCACAGCCTCAGGTTCTTTTATGATCAGACTTAATCCATTAACGGGGGCAGAGTTCTGATGGTCCAATCACCTCTAAGAGGTCCCACCTCTTATTAAAAATGTTGCAAGGGGGGTGAATTATCCAACAGATGCTTCTCTGGGGAAACATTCAAACCATTGCAGCTATAAAGGACACAACTGAGCAGCCAGATGAAGAGGTGCACAGGGCGAGGTCCGGAAGGGCTCTGAACACAGAAGCATCTGTCCTCATGAAGATGGGGTTAACCATCCTCCCAGCAGGTGGGCACACAGTTGTGCTCATCAATTAGGAAGCTCTCTAAAACTCAACCTCTAGATTTTTCTATGGAAGTTTCATGTGTAGGCAAGATTAATTAAATCGTTGGCCATTGGTGACTGAGCTCAACCTCCAGCCCTGCTTTCCTTCCCAGAGGTAAGTGATGGGGCTGAAAGTTCCAATCCTCTAATCACAACTTTGTGTTTCTGGCAACCACCGACCATCCTGAAGCTACCTAGGAGCTCCTCAGCCCATTGGTCATCTCATTGCTATATTAAAATCATGCTTATCACTGAGGAGACTGCAAGCGTTTTAGAACCCGCTTGTCAGGAAACAGGGACAAAGACCAAATATTTTTATTGGACCACAGATCACACCCTGGTCTCTGACCACATTATCTCTTTTTATAATTTTTATTTATTTATTTTAGAGGCAAAGCCTTGTTCTGTTGCCCAGGGTAGAATGCAGTGGCACAATTGTAGCTCACTGTAGCCTTGAATTCCTGGGCTCAAGTGATCCTTCTGCCTCAGCCTCCCTGCTTCATCTCAGATGCAAATGAGATAGCATCATGTGCGCATCACCATGTCCAACTAATTTTTATTTTAAAATTTTTTTTTCTTCAACCACAATTACTTTTGCAGCCCAACTAATTTTTAAATAGTTTGTAAGAATGGGGTCTCACTATTTTGCCCAGGCTGGTTTTAAACTCCTGGCCTTAAATAATGCTCCTACCATTGCCTCCCAAAGTGATGAAATTATAAGTGTGAGCCACTGTGCCTGGCCAATCACAGATCTCCATTATCAGAGGAATCATAA